AAAAAAAAAAAAAAAAAAAGAGATCGAAGCTGTTTTTACGTTGGAATGAATGTTAGATAAATGCATATGCAATTTAAGAATATTTGGTGGCTTAATTGAGATATGTAATTATGTGTAGGGTCAATGTTAAGATTGAAATAAGATGCAAATTCATTACAATTTTTTTTAAGTAAGGACATTTAATAGGTGTGTTTTGTTGAAGGAAAGGGAGGGGAGGGATTTTAATGGAGGGAAATGGAGGAGACGGGAGGTGATGTAAAATAATTTTACCTTGTTTGGATAGATTATTTAGGAGTGGAAGAGAGTGAAAATGGTAAACTTTGTTTGGTTGAGGAAGGGAAAATAAAACTAAAATGACAAATTTACCCTTAATGAAATAAAAAAAAATTAGAGGCAATTGAAAGTAGGGGCTAAAAAGATAATTTTATATCATCACAAATCACTTCTCCTCTAAATTCCTCCAATTTTGGAGGGGAGAAAAAGTGGGGGAGGGAAGGGAAAATCACTTAAAATTTTCCTCTCCCTCCCCTCCTAATTTTGCAACCAAACAAGTGAAAATTAAAATTCTCCCTCTTCTCTCCTCTCCTCCACTCCAAATCCTTCAAACCAAACAAGATGGTACCTGTAGAATCGCCCTAGTAAGTTCTCATCTTTTATCTGATCTTCCTTAGTGCTCAAAGACTACAAATAAATTAAGAAAAAGGACAAAAAGAAAGGAAAATTTCAGCTGCAAAAGACCATATGAAAACAAAGGTTGGTTGCATAAGGAACACTGAGGTTTGTGGGATTACAAACAACCAAATTTATTTTAAAAAATAGATTGACTAACTCAATTTGCGCTTATGTTTCACAAATTTTGACCAACATGGGATATTTGTCAATATTCAAAGTGAAATATGAAGCGTTTGTTGTAGTAAGTTGCTACTTAAAATGTTGACATATGCCTTCGTTTTTTCTCTAGATATGATCAAACCTCAACAAAAAATTTTATAATTATGGCTAACAAATATTAAGGGTCCGCACTTCTACGGATACACTTTCAAGCCAGAATATCTAACAATCAACAAGATGAAGTATGGTAAACATGACATTCATTGTTCATGTGATATTACTACTTTGTGAAGGAAAAATAATCATGACTAACCTGCAATAAAGAATTGCTTCTTTTTTCTTAACAGGAACAACACAGTTTAGATTTACTATTCTCTGATCTAATATTAAAAAAAATAGTTTTATCCAACTGCAACTTTTTATTTATTTGTTTTTCTTGATGTTTTTAGTTAAAATTGTTTGCTGGCCAATAAATCAATGCTTTATATACATTTCACAAAAAGAAAAAAAAATAAAGAAAAATAAAAGCTGAAATTTTAAGTTTCTCTTAACATGTACCGAGTAGTAGAATACTCCCTATCAAATAAAATATACAACGATAAAAAAATCAATCCCAACAAATAGCAGTACATCATTATAACAAAAGCGATACTAAGAATACACAAATCTGTGTGAGCAGCAATCTCCAATGTTGGTAAATCAAGTAATCCTGAAATTATTTACCGAGTACAGGAATGCTTTCATAAACAAATATTGGAGAATGCAATATTTGCTTTCCTGAAACAGGAAGAAAAATGATCCTATGGCATTTTGCAATTAATATTACTTGTAGTATTATAGAATTTAAAACAGCGTGAAAGATTATTATTATATTCTAAACACAGACTTGTAATGCACCATATATACAACTTACATTAGACAATATAAAAATTGGCATTCACCAAATATCGACACAGCTCATTTAACCAAAACAAACAAAAAAAATATAAAAACATCATAATCTTCTGTTGTAATATGACTTACATGTAGAAAGAGAAATCAATTGTGGGAATCCTTAGATAAAAGGATGTGTTTAATGTTACAAATGTAATGTTCAAATTCAATGTGAGGAAAGCTTAACCGTGTTCGGTTTTCAGATGTGAGAATGAAACTCAAAGTTTCATTACTTGTTCATTACTTTTGCCTTAATGAAGGAATTAATGGAACACCTCTTCATTGAATGAAAGCATGCCTTATGAGCACTATATAAATAGTGCATGCATGCTAATGAGAAGAACACACCAACAAAGTGAAGGAAAAGAAAAGAAACATATACATTCTCTTTTATCCTCTACAAGTCTAAGAATAATTAAGGGTTCTTGGCGACTGAGCTTCTGATCGAGGTGAGTGTGTTAGATAGTGCAGTCTTCATACTTTGAGCCGTCTTATCCTGGGAGAAAAGGCGTAGTACTCGTTGCACAGTATCGGGGCGTCTGTTTCTTCAAGGCAAACAGATTTTCTGTGATTCGGCTATATGTGTTCTATGACTATATAGAACTGTCAGTTAAGTTATTTATTTTTATAATAAAATTATTTACTAATAGAAATCTGGTTTTATCTCACGTTCCCGTGGTTGATGTTTGTGGTTTCTATTTTCAAATTCTTAATACGTATATGTGTTGAAC